CGCGCGTCTGGTTCCAGAGTGTGGCGGGACATTATTGCGACAAAAGCGCGACGGTGAGGCTGACGTCGCTGCACGGCTGGGTGGACTACGAGGTGCGCGTGAGACTCCGCTCGGGGGCACGACCGCCGCCCGACGACGAAAACGACGACCGATGGTGGTCATCGGTAGCATCCGAGGCCGTCACGTCGCAAGGAGGTAACTGGGTTTCGGCATCACTTTAACAGGGCGACATTTATATATACATATATATATATATATATATATATATATATATATATATATATATATATATATATATATATATATATATATATATATATGAAATTATATATATATATATACATATATATATATATATATATATATATATATATATATATATATATATATATATATATATATATATATATATATATATACATATATATATATATATATATATATATATATATATATATATATATATATATATATATATATATATATATATACACACATATATATATATTTATATAAACACAAAGATATTTGTAAAGGAAAGGAAAGATATATATATATTTCTTTTTTTTATAAAAAAACAACAACTAAAATATGTGCTCTGCCAGCAACAGATCTCCCACTATCATAGTATGGGATCAACAATATTGCATATTCAACATCTTTCACCGCATATCATGACATCAACACTTTCACAAGGACGGCCGCTGTGCCTCATCCTTCTTGACACCCACAGCGCCCGAGGTTGCCCCAGCCGTGAGCGTGGGGACCTTCGAGGTCGAGAGCGACGCCGACTCCGGGCGGCGGGCGGTCGCGCTGCAGTGGCGCCCCGTGCCCCCGCTGCTGCACAACGGACCCGGCCTGGAGTACCGCGTCCTGGTCAGGGACCAAACGTAAGGCGCGGGGCAGTTGCGTAGCGCTTGCGAGAGGAGCGTGGGCTTCGCCTTCATGCTTGGAGTGGCTGGCTTAGAGTAGCACTCGCTGCTTTAAAGTGTGTTGCAAAGAGCAGAGACTCCATACGCTATTTATATGACAAATGTTTATGAATATACGGAGTATCCATTCTTATCGCATCTCTGTCTCTCGCTATCTATCTATCTCTCTCTATCTTTTTCTCTCAGTCTCTTTCTCTCTCTCTCTCTCTCTCTCTCTCTCTCTCTCTCTCTCTCTCTCTCTCTCTCTCTCTCTCTCTCTCTCTCTCTCTCTCTCTCTCTCTCTCTCTCTCACTCTTTGTCTATCTATCTATTTCTTTCAAAGAAAAATAACAACTGCCCTTTCATGTCATTTCAGGAACAACACGGTGAAAGATCTCACAGAAACCGGAACATTTGTCAGAATTGAAGACCTCAACAAAGATACGAGTTACAGGTGGGTTTCAGCGTTCCTCCCTCCCCCCTAAAAAACGATTAATTGGTAAAGAAACAGATAATTTGAAGAATATAAAAAATGGAAGCATATACCCCACATGTACAGTTAATTTATAGACGCCTGGAAGGATAAAAGACATTTGTGAGAACGTTCCAACTGTTTCAAAAAAACAAATGTGATATAGGATAAATGAATTACATTTTCTCAGCAGGTAGGTTTGAATGAATATTAGCTATCTTAAGAAAAGATTATAGAAAAAAAATAAAAAGCCCATAGAATCAACAAAATCAATGTTTTTTCAGAAGAAAAAAATAATTAACGAGGAAATTATCAAAACATATATATAATGACTAATTAAGTAGATGTGCAGAAATGAACCCTTATAAAACTGAACCCTTATATAATACGTACACACACACACACACACACACACACACACACACACACACACACACACACACACACACACACACACACACACACACACACACACATATATATATATATATATATATATATATATATATATATATATATATATATATATATATATATATATACATACACACACATTTTATCATTGTCATCTCGGGTTTTAGTTTTATAAGGGGTCATTTCTGCAATGCTAGTAATATGTGTGTATATATATATATATATATATATATATATATATATATATATATATATATATATATATATATATATATATATATATATATTTATATATATATATATATATATATATATATATATATATATATATATATATATATATATATATATGTATGTATGTATGTATGTATGTATATATATTTAAACAATAATTCATATACAAAGACAATGAAACACAACCACAACATAAACGAAATAAGAACACGTTCATACCGTGGCAGTGTTCCATTTCCTCATGAATTCATCTTCCTAAAACATACAGCAGTTTTGTTTTGGGAGGAATATTAACAACTGAAACTAGTTTTAGCGCACAAACGAATAGTAAGGGAAAGGGTAAGATTGAGAAGGCAAATTCACACTAATGGTATCTACATAGGACTTCAAGTATCAAATCTGAATGACTGTATCATCTGTGTGTGTGTGTGTGAAGATACGTGTGTGATGAACACGTAAGATTATGTAGAGTATTTAGAATATAACAATAGATAGAATAATATTACCATGTGTGTGTTCTCAGCTTTATTTTCTTTACTGCCTGGTCTTTCTCTTTCATTCTACATTTATATCAACGCATGATACATTCTGGATCCTACAAGGGCATCTTCCTCCGCAGAATGGAAATCACCGCCGCGAACCACGTCGGCGTCGGCCACACGACGCCGGCGGTGCGCATTCCCGCCGCCCCGCCTCCCGCCCCGCTCCTGCCGGCAGTCGTCTACCACGCAGAGACTCGCCACTACGAACTCTGGTAGTGTAAAGGGTATTGCGTCTGTCCGAATTGAGGACTGATATATATTTATTTTTTTTCTCTCTTCAGCACATGCAAAGGACGTTTTCATGAACTTTACTTGTTTCCATTAATAATCATATCAGCTATATATTTTTATATTCGTTACATCGTATATGATCTACTGAATCATCATAATCTAATGTTTGTCCCACCAGTACGTACAAAACTTTCAGAACAACAAACGAACATTTTTCTTTCTGTAAGGATAAAGATAAGTCAGATATGCGAAGCAAAGCCTCGCCCGGGCTATACCCATGAAGGGAGCCCGGCCTGTGTCGCCTAATGCCGACTCGTTAGCTGGTGCTGACTCGGATGAGCTTAGTCTTTTTTTTCTCGACCTCCATCCCAAATTGGGTATAGAATAAGGGAGCAGTGTTGTGAAACATATTCGGAACTATTTCGCAATACTGTCCATTGGCCCCGTCCTCGCCAATGGTTGTGGTCGACAACCTTCTCTATTAATCTAGATTTATTTTTTTATTCTACAAATATATACAATAGTGAACTTACATATCTAATCTCTATTAATCCTACTATCTACTACGAGAAGTTCCGTCCGGTCGTAGGTTTGAGGCCTGGCTCAACCCTAACGTCGCGGCACACCTCGCCGAGCATTTGTGCCGTCACGTCCCTCACCTCGTCATGACGCATGCAGACGAATCCACCCGTCTTGCACGTCATGGCGTGATTTGGGTCGAATGATGAGCCGCAGGTGCAGTGCTGGTGGAGATCCTCAATTGACCAGCCATATCGTAGGCAGATGGCATCTGTAAACTCTTGCTTGTTCAGGCTAAATCCTTTAGATTTTATGGGTAGCGTTGATAGCCAATTTGATGCACCTTTTTCCCTTGCTGTTTCTATTCTTCTTTTCACTTTCTCTGATAATTGTGTGTTTATCTCTTGCAATTCTGCTTTCTGTTTGGTCTCTCTTGTTCTAGCGATTTCCTTCCTGATTTGTTGTTGCTCCCTCATGTCTGTCTGTGTGTCCGTGTCTTGTGATATGATTGATTGAGTTACTTTGGTTGTGAGCTTGATGGAGTTCTGAAATTCGATATTGGCGGTCTCTAGGTCTGTGGTGCTCCTATTTCCTGAGAATGCTGGTATAAATTCCTGTCTTATCGCTGCTTCCAGGGGCTCAAGCAAGTGTCCTATGTTTGGGACTGTTCGCATCAGGAAGTTCCATTTACTCTTTACACCGAAAATGAAGGCCGTGTAGGCTGAGTGCGGTTCCGATCTTGCGATGTTTGTTAGAGTCTTCAGCTCGCTTTTCCATTTGTTCACCTGCGACCTCACGTATTCCTCCTTGGCCTCTGTAGTGCCCAAAACTGCTCCGAGGTGTTTCTCCCCACCTGTCTTTATGTTTATATCTGTGTCTCGGAAAGACTCCTTGGTAAGGTCGAGATGTTCTGGCTTAACGATTAGAACTGATTTATTTGCACTTGGGTGGTATCCTTGTGGAGGGCCATGGTTTTCAACTATTTCCCACCATCTTCGAAGGTCCTTTATTTTTCCGGCTCCTGTAAGGTCGTCGGCGTGTGCAACTTTTTTGATGTTCGTTTTGCTGTGTAGTGCTTCCAGGGGCTTAGTCCTTACCCGCCGTGGTGCCCAGCCACAGCATTAACTTCCAAGCGACAATTGCAACTTCTCGCGCCTGAGCGGGGCGCGAACCGCTGACCCCTTGAATGAGAAGTCGATGCGTTACCACTATACTATCCCGGAGGGTCTTCCTTCAGTGACTTACCCGACCGATCTTGCTCTTCAGGTGGCCGGCGAAGGAGAACCTCACCTACACGGCCTACGTCTGCACCGACGGCCTGTCCTTCCTCTCGCCCTGCACGGTAAGAATTGCGCCAGATTTCTGAGTCTAGATCCGCCTTTCGTTTTCCTTCCATTCTTCGCGCCAGTGTGTCGCTTTGCTCGTCATTCAGACCTCAGTACGGCAGTTGGCTATGGGCTTCACGCTTTTTTTTTTACAGAATAAACCCCTTTTCTACAGTTTGGTTTTATGAGGTTGTTATACTCTGTTCTCCAGCATCGTTTGAATAGGTTGGGTGTTTCAGCATAGCGACCTTCCTGCAATGCTTGTGTGGCCTATATGATTATTATCTGAAATTGTTTATTATTGTAGTTGTATTACAGTTAGAAATAAAGCAAACTCCTGTGTTGTTTTAGA